ATCCTAAAATTTGTATGGAACCAGAAAAGACCCCAGATAGCCAAAGGAATGTTGAAAAAGAAAACCAGAGCAGAGACATCACAATTCTGGACTTCAAGCTGTATTACAAAGCTAATCATCAGGACAGTATGGTTATGGGCACAAAAGCAGACAGACACATAGATCAGTGGAACAGAAGAAGAACTCAGAAATGAACCTTCAACTCTATGGTCAACTAATCTTGAGCAAAGCAAGAAAGAATATCCAATGAAAAAAAGACAGTCTCTTCAACAGTCACTCGTCACCAGGGAAATACAAATCAAAACCACAATGAGATACCACCTCACACCAGTCAGAATGGCTAAAATTAACAAGTCAGGAAATGACAGATGTTGGTGAGGATGTGGAGAAAGGAGAACCCTCATACACTGTTGGTGGCAATGCAAAGTGGTATAGCCACTCTGGAAAACAGTATGCAGGTTCCTCAAAAAAGTTGAAAATAGAGCTACCTACAACCCAGAAATTGCACTACTGGGTATTTACCTTCAAAGATACAAATGTAGTGATCCAAAGGGGCACCTGCACCCCATTGTTTATAGCAGCAATGTCCACAATAGCCAAATTATGGAAAGAGCCCAGATGTCTACCAACAGATGAATGGGTAAAGAAGATATATCTAGAAATATCGATATATATACACACAATGTACACTACTTAGCCATCAAAAAATGAGATCTTGCCCTTTGGAGCGATGTGAATGGAACTAGAGGATATTATGTTAAGTGAAATAAGTCAATTATAGAAAGACAATTATCATATGATCTCACTCATCTGTGGAATTTAAGAAACAAAACAGAGGATCATAAGGGAAGAGAGGTAAAAATAAATCAAAGTGAAATCAGAGAGAGAGACAAACCATAAGAGACTCTTAACTATAGGGAACAAACAATGTTGCTGGAGGGGAGGCGGGTGGGGGACGGGGCAATTGGGTGATGGATATTAAGGAGGGCACTTCATGTAATGAGCTACTGGATGGTATATGCAACTGATGAATCACTCAATCCTACCCCTGAAACTAATAATATACTATACGTTAACTAACTTTAAAAAAAATTGAAAGAAAAGAAAGGCCATTAATACTATAATCCTCATTTAGGGACACCCAGTCCACACTAGCAAATTAGAAGCTCTAAGAGTTCTCTTGTTAAAAAACATATTTAACCCTCTTTTAATGATTTTGAAATTTGCTTTGGCCTTGGATCACTTTTTTAGCACAGCATATTAATGTCACATGTAAGCAATATTGCAGAAAACAATGACATATGAAATTCTAGGATGGAAGAAGTAGCACTTTATATAGAATGAGCACCCAGAAAATACAGCTGTGGGTTTCAAGGGAAGAATCTGAAGAAAGTACATAGCAAAAGATTGGAAGAAAATAACCCACATCACCAGCTGTTATTTCTAGCTGGTGAAATTATGGATGATTTTATTTTATTCTCTGTTCTTTATACCAGTTTTCCCTGAACCTTCAGATGAGATTAAACTCCTTTGCTATAAACGCAAATAGCATTTCCATTTTGAACTCTAATCACCCTGTGACCACCCTGGTTTCATGTCTATTAGCCTTCATGCCAGGACAAACACTGTCTTCATCTTGTTTAGTGCTAATTCGATCAAGCATCTAAAGGTTTTCTGGTCTGAACTGAATTGAAATAATAGCTTCATGTCATGTACAAGTTCTTATAATGAATGTACATCATTTTTATAATACCTTTTTTTTTTTTAAGAAAATTGTCAACTGCTCTTGAGAGCTCTAGACCTAAAACAGGATTTTTGTTACACTTTGTCATTTCTTAATTTTGTGATGTTCGGCAAGTACCTTAAGTTCTCTAAGCTTTAAATTACCTCTGTGACATTGGAGATTTTGTTCCACTTCCCATACGAGATTGCTGACGAAAATCATAGGACATTTGAGGAAGTATACCGAGTAGCACATCCAGACAAGGAAAATCCACACCAAGATACAATCTTGCAAGAATGTGGAGGTGGGGCTGGGGGAGGCTGTGCACACCAGGGGAACTGGCAAGAGGTAAAGCTGAGGTGATTACAGGACCAGATATGTAACCCTGTGATCGTATTAAGAAGCTTGGACTTGTGTGTGTGTATTTATGTTTTAATTTTAATTCCAGTTAGTTAACATACAATGTAATATTAGTTTCAGGTGTACAATATAGTGATGCAACACTTCCATGCATCACCAAGTGCACATCACAAGTGTACTCCTTAATCCCAATCACCTATTTCACCCATCCCCCCACCCACCTCCACTCTTACCATCAATTTGTTCACTATAATTAAGAGTCTGTTTCTTTATTTGTCTCTCTTATTTTTTGCATTTTAAAATTTTACTTAAATTCAATTAATTAACATATAATGTATGTTAATTAGAGGTAGAGGTCAGTGATTCATCAGTTATATATAACACCCAGTGCTCATTACATCACATGCCCTCCTTAGTGTTCATCACACAGTTATCCCAACCCCCACCCCTTTCCCTTCCAGTGACCTTCAGTTTGTCCCCCATAGTTAAGACTCTCTTATGGTTTGTCTCCCTCTCTGATTTCACCATGTTTTATTTTTTCTTCTCTCCATCTATTATCCTCTGTTTTATTTCTTAAATTCCACAGATGAATGAGATCATATAATTGTCTTTCTATGACTGACTTATTTCACTTAGCGTAATATCCTCTAGTTCCATCCACATCATTGCAAGAGACAAGATTTCATTTTTTTTTAAGATTTTATTTATTTATTGACGCAGAGGGAGAGGGAGAAGCAGGCTCCATGCAGGGAGCCCGATGTGGGACCTGATCCCAGGTCTCCAGGATCACACCCCAGGCTGCAGGCGGCACCAAACCGCTGCGCCACCAGGGCTGCCCTTTTTATTTTTTTTTTAAGATTTTATTTATTTAAAGATTTCATTTTTTGATGGCTAAGTAGTATTCCAGTGTGTGTGTGTGTGCATGTGTGTGTGTGTGTGTGTATACATCTTCTTTATCCATTCATCTGGTTTTAAAGATTTTTAAAAATTTATTTATTCATGAGAGACACAGAGAGACAGGGACACAGACAGAGGGAGAAGCAGGCTCCCCTTGGGAAGCCCGATAGGGGACTCTATCCTGGGATCCCAGGATCACGCCCTGAGCATTAAGGCAAATGCTCAACCACTGAGCCACCCAGGCATCCTTATCCATTCATCTATAGGGGGAAGTCTGGGCTTTTTCTATAGTTTGGCAATTATGGACATTGCTGCTATAAACATTGGGGTGCAGGTGCCCTTTTGGATCACTACATTTGTATCTTTGAAGGTAAATATCCACTAGTGCAATTCCTGGGTCATAGGGTAGCTATATTTTCAACTTTTTGAGGAACCTCCATACTGTTTTCCAGAGTGGCTGTACCACTTTGCATTGCCACCAACAGTGTATGAGGGTTCTCCTTTCTCCACATCCTCATCAACATCCATCATTTCCTGACTTGTTAATTTTAGCCATTCTGACTGGTGTGAGGTGGTATCTCATTGTGGTTTTGATTTGTATTTCCCTGGTGATTAGTGATGTTGAGCACTTCTTTTATGTGTCTGTTGGCCATTTATTTATTTGTATGTCTTCTTTGGAGAAATATCTGTTCATGTCTTCTGCCCATTTATTGATTGGATTATTCTTTGGGTGTTGAGTTTGATGATTTGTCTCTGTCTTTTTCCCTTGGCTCATTTGTTTTGTTTCTTAAATTCTACATAGGTGGAAAACAGTATGGAGGTTCCTCAAAAAGTTAAAAATAGAACTACACTACGATCCTAATTGAATTTAAGTTAAAAAAAAAAAACTACACTATGATCCAGTCATCACATTACTATTTACCCAAAGAATACAAAAACAAAAATTCAAAGGGATACATGTAGCTCTATGTTTATAGCAGTATTATTTACAATAGTCAAGATATGGAAGCAGCCCAAGTGTCCATCCACTGATGAATGGATAAAGAAGTGGTATGCATATACAAAATATTACTCAGACATAAAAAAAGAATGAAAATCTTGCCATTTGCAACAATATGAAGCTAGAGGGTATAATAGTGAGTGAAATAAGTCAGTTAGAGAAAGCCTGGACTTCTTATTGAAGATTATGAACCACCTCTAAAATGTCTGAGCAGTGCATGACTGGATCTTACTTGCCAGGCCAAACATCTCTTCTGGAGGAAATGCAGCCACTGGATGGCAGCAGAATCTTACAAGGCTAACTGCTGCAAAGCAGAGGAACATGTCTCTAACTCTCCACTCAAAATAGCAGTTAGGACAAAGCATCTTTGAAGACAGGGCATATAAATGTGTCTAAGCATAAAGCTTTCCATTTCAAGGTGAAGAGATTCATAGGATCACAGATTTAGCAGGAAGGTTTCTCATGAGGACTATTGGGCCATTCTTGATTTCTCAAAGACTTCTTCCATAAGTCCAAGCTCAAGGATTCGGTTTCTGAAGATCATAAAAGTGGTTATAACCATATCTTCTAGTTATAAAGCATTTTGTGTGGTATATAATGTATTTTATTATTATTCCTGAGCACTTAATATACATCAGGTGTTCTGATGTGGGCTTGTATTGATCAATACCTCATTTTATACTCACTATTACTGTGCCTCACATGGACTATTGCTATTTATAAATAAAGAAGCTAAGGTTCCATGAGGCTAAGTTCCTGGGCCAAGGTCACAAAATTAATCAGTGGCAGAACCAGGCTTCAAACCTAGGGGACCTGACTGAATTCTAAACACTTTAGAATTGTGTATCCTGCCTGCAGTTGTTCTGGAAGGCCCAGAGGTTGATATTCTCTCCATATTACAGAGGATGCTCAGACAAGTTCAGTGGCAGTGCTTGTATCTGCCTAGAAATCTGAATTCCTAGGTGTCTCTACTGAACTGTGGTGCTTGGGCTCCTCACCCTGATTGTTCTTCCTTCCCAGTCATAGGCCAGACCTTCTCTCTGAAGAACATCTCCACAGACATGTCGGGTTATTACATCTGTACATCCAGCAATGAGGTGGGGATGGAGTCCTGTAACATCACTGTGGCTGTCAGACCTCGTAAGAGTGGTTTGGGGGTGGGAGGGAGGGTGAGGAGTTGGGGGGGTGGGTTGGACAATGGCCAAAAGATCAGTAGCTTGGGGTCCAAAGAGGCAGCTGAGAGAGACCCTGTGGAGGTGAATTGGGGAGCCTCCTTAGGGGCACCGGCTGGCAGGGTAGCTGGGGCGACCTCAGCCAAATGCTCCTGTTCCATGCTCCCTTGCCTAGAGGTCAGTCCAGTTCCCTTGGTTCTCGGAAGAGAGAACCTCAGACTGACTGCTGGAGACCTGCTCAGTCCTGCCGGCCTTTAGCACCACTCAGCGGGCCTGAGAGAAGTACCCAGAGTCAGTTGCCAGAGTCTGGACCTTATCTTTTGATGTGGGTCACCTCCACCAGCTCAAGGACAAGCTAAAGTAGGAATTGGCATGGCTGACAGCTGAGGGCTTTTAGGGACCTGGGTAGCCCAGAGAGTGTTGAGACACAAATCTATTGGCCTGTGTATCTTTGTGTACACCTCCATCCTGAAGAGTAGTCTCTAGACCTACCTGATTACCTTCCTACCAGGTCATGCCCTTCACAGAGTGTTACTAGAAGCTGGCAGCACTCCCTGGGCTGGGAGGAAGACTGGGCCTGCCCAGAGGCACCCCCCATCATGGCTCAGCCTCCCCAGATGCCTGGGCTCCTGTCAGCACTCGGGAGGTGCAGCTGCTCTGCTCTGTCTCTTGCAGCCTCCATGAATGTGGCATTGTATGCGGGCATCGCGGGGGGCCTGGCCGCCGCCATCATCATTCTTGTCATCATTGTCTACTGCTGCTGCTGCCGGGGGAAGGACGAGGCTGAGGACACCAAGCTGTGAGTGTTTGTGGGCAGCTTGTTGGCAAGGAGCTGAGCAGAGTGGGAGGAAGTATCACAGCTCCTCATGGCCTTTTCCACTCATGCCACCACTGGGGACAGCTTCCCTGCAAGTGGCGTTGCAGTCCTGGCACTTGATTCCAAGGCCCGCAGTTCCCCAGGCTTCCTGTGGCCTGCTCAGGGGCAGCGTCAGGTGGAGCCACCTCCACGGGCTCGCCCCTCCTTACCTAGTGAGCCAGCCTGTTCCTCTAACACCCTGAGCTCATGAGCAGAGCCAGTCTGTGCCACCTACCTGTCTACTCTGAGCCAGCTCGTCAGCCTAGTGTCCCTTCGCATCTGGACGGGTAGGGATGGCAGGTCCAATGTCTCCTCTTCCCATAAGGAGTGCTAGGCCCAATCCCCCAGCTGGAGTGAGAGCAACCCTTCCCCTCTGTCCTCCCTGCTCTCAGGAGTCAGGTGGCCTACCAGAAGCCTTCAGAGCAGGTGAGAGAGCCTCCCACAGAGCCGGAAGAGGAGGATGACTACAGGCGAGAAGACGAGAGGAGCACTGGGCGGGAGTCCTATGGCCACGCTGACCGGTGACTGGAGCATGCTGCAGGCTGTGGTGGAGGGGAGATTGGTGTCATTTCTCTGCCTCTGCCTCCCCTCTCCTTGCCCCATTTTTCCAGCCCTCCATTCCAGTCACTGATGGGATGCTTCTTCCCTATGTCATCTGCTGGAGGACTTGGCTAAGGGGATCTTGTGACTGACTGCCAAGTGCCCTCACCCACAAAGTGATCCCTTCCTACTCCCCTGCCTAGCTCACAGCCAGGCCCTCAGCCTGGACCAGGCCACAGCCTCAGCTTCCTCTGCAGCTGGGAGGCTCCCAGAGGCATAGGATGGAGCCTGCGTACTCCTGGTTGTGAGTGGTCTGAAATCTGCAGAAGCAGCACCCCCTTGGGAGAGCAGGAACTGCTCAGCTGCCCTGTGTGCACAGCACCCTGGGGAGCACCTGAGGATCATCTGCATACAGTACATATTTGTTGAATAAATGAGCCTGAGAAGGACTCCCTGTTATTTAGCCAACCTGAGTGAAAACTCCTGCTTCAGGAACCACTTTGGCCTCCAGTTCTCTTTGCAGCTCATCTCCCACAGCTTTCCTGCACTCTCCAGAAACTTCACAAGGGCCACCTCCCACTCCACTGCACATCTCCTCTGGGCTCTTTTTTCCTGTCTCTGGCTGGGATGCCCATGCAGTTTCCATCTCCACTTTTCCCGATAGGCCTGTCTCAAATCCCAGTGATTCCTATAACTGGACCCTGATCTCCCCTACACATGGGAACAAGCTTGTCACTCCTCAGGGCCACACAGCAGTTATCTGAGCATTAGCATATGCCTAGGCTAATGTCTGAGCTCCTTGGGCCAGAGCCTGGGCTTCACTGCCCCCTGCCCCAGCCCTTCCAGTGAACACTTACTCCAGCTGAATCTAGGTACCTTTTTTTTTTTTTTTTTAAGATTTAATTATTTACCCATGATAGACAAGAGAGAGAGAGGCAGAGACACAGGCAGAGGGAGGAGCAGGCTCCATCCTGGGACCCCGATGCGGGACTCGATCCCGGGACTCCAGGATCACATCCTGGGCCAAAGGCAGGTGCTAAACCACTGAGCCACCCAGGGATCCCCTAGGTACCTATTTTGATAAGTTGAGTCTTCTCCTCCCTGGTCTCTCTGATATGTTTGTAGACTAACAACTCCCGCACAAACCTCTTGGCTAGTTTAGTGAATGAAGTATGTGCTGATATAAGTGAACACACAGTTGTACACACACAGGAGCTTCTTTCAGCTGGTCCCACATTCTCACATCATGATGACTCCTCTCAAGAGTAACCGGCATGCCCACCCCTGCTTCCTGACACCCAACCCTGGCCTTGCCAGCCTGGTCCTGCCCGGTGCCGGCTCTGCTCGTTGGCAGTCACGCTGCCCTGCCGTAGCTCCCCACTGGCCTGGCTTGTCTCCCCACTGTTGGAGCACAGGCAGCATCCCAGCCTAGGGCTCAGGGTCCTGTGGCTAGTCACGCCCAAAGGTAGTTTCCTATAAATAAACATCATTGGATCCGGGCGTGCTGCAGCTGTGCGTCCACTCGAAAAAAAAAAAATAAATAAACATCATTGTCTTTTCTGATCGGAAAACCAATCTATAAATCTATCATCCATTTGAGATTTTTAAAAATATATATTTTTTACACATTTTGTTAAATTCGTTGCTTCATTCAAAATGCTATCAGTAATAATAAATTTGTTAGTGGAAATTCTTATTTCTTTTTTAATGTGGGGTTTGTTCACACAAAGGCAAAGGTCAAAAAAAAAAAAAAGGCAAAGCTCGTTTCTTGTGGGTTTGTGTCTGCTTATTGCACAGCTCTTCTGATTCCTAGGAGAGGCACGGCAAGGTGACAGGCTGAGAGATCGAAGTACAAGGTCAGAACCTGTGGGTCCCATTGCCAGTGGCACTGCTTCCAGTGGTTGCTAGGAACAGGACAGAACCCAATCTGGTAGTGGAGGGATAGTCCAGGGAAAATGGTGGAGATGCTCTTGCCACTTACACCCCAAGTGGAGCTCCTCCTGAGAGAGGAGGAAGCAATCCTTTTGTTGCAGCTGTCAGAACAGGTGGCTCTCCCTCCTCAAAGCAGCGTGGTCCACAGTTGGTTCTCACCTGTGACATTGTCTCTCCTGCCATATGTTCAAAGTTGTCTGTTCCGTGTCCCTTCCCATGGCACCTTGTGCTCCCTCCTGTCCCAGCACTTGTTACACAGTACTCTCATTACCATGGTCTGTTTCTGCCTAGGCCTATACAATTTGTGAGAGTGGGAACTGAATCTCATTCATGGCATGTGTTGACACTTGATAAATGTCTATTGAATAAATAATGTTTAGAGTCAATGTATCTTGCTTAAGGTCATCTCCTGGTCCTTTAGATACTTTGAGGTGCCTTCCAGTCTTCCTGGTGCAAGTCTCTACAAGCATGCTCTTGATAAAGCTATGGAAGGGGAGGTGGCCATGTCCCCTAGTTTTGGCTGGCTTATCTCTCTGGTCTGGAAAGGCTCTGAAGGTTCACATGCCTTCGTTCCAGACTTGTGTAAGAAAATGAGGGAAATTAGGACCCATTGCATTAATTCAATAGCCTTAAATCAGGACCTATTGCATTAATTTAATGACAAATCTTTTGTGAGCACCTATTATGTACCAAGCATTGTTCTGGCTGCAGGATATATAAAGGTCACCAAGACATTATAACTCAGGAGGAGCTAAAGTCTAATGGAGGTAACAGGCACATGATTATGTGAGATGGAGAAGATGCAGGAACACAGTGGAGACCCTGAGAGAGTTCAAGGAAGTTCCAAAGAGAATGTGATGTTTGGGCTGCATCTTGAAGGAAAACAAGTGATTGTTTTCAAGTGGAACAACAAACAAGTAGAAAAGGTATGGTGCTGAAAGGTCCATACTCCAATGTGGGGGTTCTCTTACTTGAGTCTCAAATCACATTATCAGCTGGTAAGGACACAGTCTCCTGCTGAATTTATTTCAAACCAGAAACAGTGGGAATTAGATGGTTGCAGGTTCTCTTACAGTCAAAATTAGCTATTACAGTCTCCTTAAGGTGTCAGGCATTCCCTTCCCAATGCATGGTTTCCAGGTGACAGTTCAAAGATTTATGGTGCTTGAGAAGAGAGACAAAGGGCATCATTATTTGAGGGAAGGCTGTGTGCTAGACATTTGTTAGTCATTTGAACCAGTTTTTCATACAATCTTTATGTACAGATGCAAATATTAAGGCACATGACAAGATGAGTCACGCATATTATCACCTAAGAAGGGACTCTGGCTGCCCAGAAATGTCCCTTCAAAGTAATATGAACCTTGGTAAATCAGCCACACTTCAGGGACTTGTTAAGTTGCTTTGGTATGCACCCACACAGCACTGGCTTTCAAAGGCAGAGTGACATTAACCAGCCTCACAGAGCCTGATGTACAATACTAATAGTGAACACTCAGCTAGTACTTGCTCTGGGCCAGCCACCATTCCGAGCACCTTCCATATAGCTCTCATAATCCTCACAGCAACTCTGAGAGGTGATATTATTACCATTTTACAGTTGAGGAAGCTAAGGCACAGTAAATTTTAGCAAGTTGAATACACACAGAATGTCACTTTGCTATTTGCAGCTATTAAGCCAACCAGACTTTCTGTATATGTACCCCAAGCATTCTCACCCCATGAAAACCATGCCCTCAGCTGCTTGGTGAACATGGAATCAGAATAAGGGAAGCTAGCTATCTTCAAGGAACCATTCTCTCTACAGCAGTGTGTATCACCAGGCATCATGTCATCTGGGGGGATTATGAAGGATTCACCAGCCTTGCCCCCTCCCTGGAGGTTCTGATTCAGGGCCCCGAGTATCTGAAGGAGCAGTGCCTAGTCCTACTGGAAGTGCCGTCCTATGGGAAGGACCTCCTTGGGGATACTTGCTATTGGCTCTTGAGTTTGCTCACAGAGATTGGCTCTTTTCTTTCTTTTTTATTTAAATTCAATTAGCCAACATATAGCACATCATTAGTTTCAGATGCAGTGGTCAATAATTTATCAGTTGTGTATAACACCCAGGGCTCATCATAGCAGGTGCCCTCCTTAATGCCCATCACCCAATTAACCCATCCTTCCACCCACCTCCCTTCTCTTCTGGATGATTTCCAGAAAGGCCTTTCCTCCCTCTCCATTACAGATGAGGAAGCTGAGGCTCAGGGAGATAGCATCACCAGAGTTAACAGAGTTAGTAGGTATCAGAATAAGGATTAGACTCAGTCTTGTCTGATTCTGAAGACCATGCCCTTTCTACTTGACCACATTTCCTCCTGACCCCGTGCATATGTACAGGATGACTAAATGGGGAACAAGCAGGGATGGAGAAAGAGTTACAGGGGTTTTGTTTGTTTTAAATTTGTATATGGGAATTGTTACCTACTGTAATAGACATTTCAGATATGACACTATATGCGCATTTCCCCAAACCCCAGAATTTTACAAAATCACACACTAAAAGTAAGAAAATTAGGATAAGAGGCAGACCACAGGAAAACAGTGGGACTTTGTAACTGGATCACTTCTAAAACAACAATCCTAGTAAAAATACAGCAGTGTTAAATCTATGTTAACAGCAAGTATCATAGTCATAAACCTTTGACCCTGAGGACCTTTTGGCTTTCATTTCTATAGCAACTGACTTACCAAAATTAAAAAATGATTCCGGTAATTCATTTGGCTATAGAGTTGAGAGGGTCTCCCTTTAAAAATTTTGGCTTCTACCATGTGTATTGATTTTTAGCCATGTGCTTATCTTTGTACTTGAGTTCTCTTGTTAGTGTATGGATATAACCTGCCTTTGCCATGTGTGGGAAAGGGCCAGGATATATTGCAAGATGGGTTTACCATCATTATCTCATCTTAAAAAAAAAATCCTTCCTTTTAAAAAATGTGTATTTATTTATTTTAGAGAGAAAGAGAGAGAAGGGAGAGGGGCAGAAGGGAGAGGGAGAGGATCCTCAATCAGACCCCCTACCAAGTGTAGAGGTAAACATGGGGTTGGATCCCAGGTCCCTGAGATCATGACCTGAGCCAAAATCAAGAGCTGGATGTTCAACTGACTGAGCCACATAGGCACTCCCTTCCTTTTTTTTTTTTTTTTTAAATAATGAAAGGTAAATGTCTTTTGTATTAATCAATTTAAGCCAAATTATGTCATGGTAACAATGTAAAATATCAGTGACTTACAACAACACAGGGTTATTTCTTGTTCATATTAAATGCTATCTCAGGTTAGCTTGGCCCTGTTGCACATCTTCGTCATTCTGGGATGCAGACTGAAGATCAACCCAGCTCTGGAGACCGG